TATAAGGCTAAATCCTAACGATCCTACTGCCTGTCGATACTTTTTTTTTGGCATTGCACGAGTCATGTCTTCTTTCAATGTCCATGGCGTTAAAACACAAATCCCTGGGATGTGTTTTAATTGATTTCAGTCTCTGGTGCATGATTTTTAATGGTTAATTGTTTTTGGCTTTTAACTAGCTTTCAGTAACTGCAAGTACTCCATAATCGTACTTGTGTGTTAATTTGACCTGTTGACAAAATTTGTAATGAATTTCTGTTATTAAATGTTTACTATTTTGTGTTATATCTCGTCTCACTATTCTTACCACCTTTGATAAGTATTTAGTATGACGATAAATTTTCACTTCTGTACTCGTACTCTGAACAACAAATTTATTAATTTTATAAAAAATGTCTTCCGTACTCCTAACAACAAAATTATTATATTCAAATTTACCTGTGTACGTTGTTTTATTTAACGCCATTTCGTCCCAGGGAAGAGTTGTCTTCTTGACACTCTTCCTACATCTTTTTTATTACTACCTGTAACGTCTATGTTATATATATTGTGTCATAGATCAAACTTATTCGTTCAGTGTATGTTTACTTGTTTTTGTTAAAATGTCTTTTTGATCGAGTTAAGCCATTTCAATTGATATTTCATGGTGTGTCTTTTTATGTTGTAAATTTACGCTGCTGTCGCAGGTTAGGGTGAAGGTTGGCGCCTGTTAAAACGTTTAAACCCGCTGCATTTGTATGCACCTGTCCTAAGTCAGGAGCTTGTTGTTCGGTGGTTGTCGTTTGTTGGTGTGGTTCATAGGTGTTTCTCGTTTCTCGTTTTTTATATAGATTAGACCTTTGTTTGAATTGTTTTGCGGCTCTTTATAGCTTGATGTTCGGTGTGAGCCAAGGCTCCGTATTGAAGGCCGTACTTTGACCCACAATTGTTAACCTTTCATACATTGTGAACTGGATGGAGAGTTGTCACATTGGCACTCATACCACATTTTCTTATTTATATAAAGATTACCCCATCTCTCTCTCTCTCTATCTCTCTCTCTCTCTGTTATTATTAATATGCAGCGAATCTACATCATGGTCTACTCCAATATCCAACAAATTACATAACAACAAAATATCAAATAAAAACAGCAGTACAATTTAAGTATATATATATATAATAAATAAACTGACATGGAAAATGTAAAACAGTTGTTGACAATTACGACTATCCGAGAAGGTTTCCAATATCTGCTGCCCTAAAATAAATAGATATAGATTTGAAAAAAATCGAATGTAAATAATAATGTTCTTTTAAATGTGGGGGGTTTTCTCATGATAGAAGTTGCTGCTGACACATGAACAATGAGGCGCTTGACCCTAGTTAGATGCTTGTAATTCATGTAATTGCCTTTTGTTGTTTTTATATTGTATTCATTTTTCGTCTTACATGATCTTGCCTTATATTACAGTTATTCTATTTTTATTTTTATTTTCTATATGTATGTAAAAGTTAAGATGAAAAATTCTGCTACTTCATTTATTCGATTTTAAGTTTAAAACAACAATATGCACAGGTTATTTTTGTTTATACACAGTTTTGATTTAGAAGAAAAACCAACATGGTTAGAAAATACAAATAATAACAGCATTACAAACATAATTCCATTTTAATATTCTTGTCATGGTTGAAAAATACATAAAATAACACCATTACAAACCGAATCCCAATTCATATTATTGTACGTGTCTATAAATTAAACAAATCTATTTTATTTTTAGAAATTTACCTGTGATAATATAAACGTTACAAATAATACTTTTTGTGACGTTGATCTATTCATGTGACGCGCAGTTTATATTTCGTTTGTGGTGTCCTGTTGTGCTGTCGTAAATTCATGGGAGGTGTTCGTTGTTATTCTGCGGTTTACATGTTGTAATGTACTATCATATTATTTATATTATGTATTTCTCTGTGTTGAAATTCTTGCGTTTGTTTGTACTGTATTCCTGTCACGTAGTGTTGTCATTTTAGCTGTATTTTCAACATTGCCATATATGAGCGGGAGGTTTGGCTAGCCCTAAATCCAGGTTCAACCCACCATTTTTTTTTTTAAATGTTCTGTACCAAGTCAAGAATATGGCAGTTGTGATCACACAGTCCGTTTCTATGTATGTTGGCGTTTTCCTTTGGTGTAGTTCAGTGTTTCTGTTGTTCCGTTGTTTTCCTCTGATAGTTGATATGTTTCCCTCGGTTTTAGTTTGTTACCCGGATTTGTTATTGCTCAATCGAATTATGACTATCGAACAGCGGTTTACTACTGTTGCCTTTATTTAACGAATGTTCAAAACATGATGTTTAGTATATATTTCATTAACAATACATAGACCTAAAGTCTGCTGACCAGCAGAGTGTATGCATCATATGAAAAAAAAAAATACTGAACTCCGAGGAAATTTCAAAAAGGAAAGTCCCTAATCAAATGGCAAAATCAAAAGCTCAAACACATCAAACGAATGGATAACAACTGTCATATTCCTGACTTGTTCACCTCATCTGGTCGACTTTCCTATTTTCATACGAGTCAGAGTTCCATTAGACACTTTTAAGAAACAAGATCAAAGCTTGATCATTCAATTTCACAAAGAGGTATATTTCTGATATACAATCCACACTTTTCGGATTGGGTCCCATTAATTCATCCTTATGAACAATAGATTAAAAAACAACAAAAACAAAAACAGCTACTCCGCCTCATTTCGTGACATATACCTCGAATTTGACTACAACGGTCATCTCAGTACCAGAATCTTTGACAAACGAGACGATTTCTACTTTAACATTATAAATTTTCCTCATCTTAGCAGCAATATACAAACTTCAAACTCGTATTGGGTATATATTTCTCAGCTCATTTGATATGCAAGGGCTTGCAGCTGCTACTAAGACTTGGTAAATGCATCGGTGTCTGAGCAAAAATTAATAGTCCCGGGTTTTGACAATTAACGTCTCACCCTTTTTCTCAAAACGTTCATAGAATGTATCACACCTTAAAGATAAATAGTCAGTGTCTACTTCATAAATAATACAAGAGGGTCTAGAGTTAGAGATTGTATAAATAATACAAGAGGGTCTAGAGTTAGAGATTGTAGGGGCTAAAGTTGATTATCTTTTTGTTTACTTTATAGTTTTCTCTTTTTTTAGGCTGATTTGTTCCTTTTTGGTCCTGTTTTGTCCATCCGGTTATCTGGTTTTTGGCGTTGGGTGTTCCTGAGGAGGTTGGTCTAGAGGTGCGATTCGGTCCCAGTAGGTTTTTACAATGTTGTTTTCTTTTTGTAAACCCTTTGATGAATATTTTACTTATTCATACTTTATCGGAAAAGTGTATACTGTACCGCATTTAATGTTTTTATATATTGACGTCTTTGTCAGATTTACTATCAACTACAATAACTTTTTTGTGGCATCTTGATCAGATTTAATTGTATGTCAAAGATAATTGTTAAAACAGTTTTGCCTGCTGGATCCCAAGTATTATTGTCATATTAACAAATTGAGTCTGTTTGGGTTGCACACCCAATTTTGTGAACAAAACGGAACTATAAACAACTGTCATAAAAGTTAGGGTTTTACCTAGCTACCTAGCTACCTAGCTATAAACGTGAAACCAGTGTAAGAAAGTGTTAGAAAGAACGTTAAACCCACCACTTCGTAAAATGCCTGTACCAAGTTCGTAATATGACAGTTATAACCATTCGTTCTGTTTGTTGACGTATAGTCTGACGTTTGATTTCGTCATGTTTCATGGACTTCCCCCTTTTTGAATATATCTTCGAGTAGTTTTGTTTAAACATTTTAATATGAGATCGTTGCTTTGTGACCTTGGAATTGAAGTCAAAATTTTAGGTAAATTGTACGTTTTAGATTTGAACCTTTGCTCCAACTTTATAATTAAACATGATAAAGCCATTGGGTTCTTTGCATAAGGTTGAAAGACATATAACCTCGAAAGGTCAGCTACAAGATTGGCCTTCTGTAAACAGGAAAAATCACGTTTTTGTCATTTAAGTTTTGTAAAAGAATCTAGCAACCATATACTTTTGGAATCAGTATGAAGTAACTTATTATATCAAACCGGACGTTGTAAATTCCATCCGGAAATAGCAAATTGGTTCCTTATTTCAAGCAAAAGATAAAGAAACCATATATTTTGTAAATTTAGCTATCAGTTGACAGCGGGAATTGTTTTGAGTAAACTAAAAGTCGCTAATTATCTACCTTAATACATTAAAGAAGGATAAAAGCTAGGTGTTTTTGAATTTTGTGAAATATAAGCTCCTCAATGCTCTTCAACGTCGTAATTTATTTGCACTTTTTAACGATTTTGATTCGAACGTCACTGGTGAGTCTTGTGTATACGAAACAAGCGTCTGAAAAAATGTCAGTGCCCATGTCACATAATAATACTCATTTTGTGAAATGGATTATTCTGATTACATTATATGTTATAAATGACAGGTGTCAGCTTGATATATAAGAAAGTGATGTTTGAACTATGTTTAAGAAGTACAATTGTTTTTCATTTTCCCGCTGTTCACTTGTACATACATTTAAACATATGTGTTTCATATCAGAAAACAGATAATGTTTGGGTATGGGTCAGGGTAGATCAAAACTATGAGTTATGTCTTGTGTTCCAGTGTATACTGTATATCTTGTTTAACACTATCCATTCCATCAAACAACATATTGGAATCAAAGTTGATTGTAAGGTTTATTGGAAGACCATCTACATAATTATTCTCTGTTTCTGTGTGTTGTTATGAATATCTATCCCTTTCAGTGTCACATTTTCTACAGAAATTCACGTTAGTCGGCTATGACTTTGAAATAACAGGTTGCGAAGCTAATAAATAGAAGATAATAGCTCATGATAAAAACAATATATAAAATAAAAACAACAGAAGAATTTGGGTATAGATATATAATAAATAAATAAATGAACGGAAATGTACAATGTAATACAATTGCTGACAATTACGGCTATCCGAGAAGGTTTCCAATATCTGCTGCCCTAAAATAGATAAATAAATATTTAGAAAAAATCAAATGTATATCAATAATGTTCTTTCAAATGTGGGGAATATTTTAGTGACAGAAGCTGCAGGTGACAAATGAACCAAGTCGGAGGCTTGTAATTCAGTGGTTGCCTTTCGTTGTTTAAATATTGTATGTATTTTCGTTTATGAGGCCGTTTAAATTGTTTTACATATGTCATTTGAGGGGCTTTTATACCCTTGTTAAACTGTATGGGATTTGCGCATTTTTGACGACCTTAAAGTGACAAATAGTTGCTAATTGATTTCGTCTCTTGTAGAGAGTTGTCTCATTGTCAATCATACTACTTCTGCTTATTTTTATATTAATTGTAAGGTTGAAGTCATCTTTTTTCAAAAGTTTACGGAAGCAAAACACTTTTTGATGGACCGTTATGTCATAACAGCATACTCCAAATATCCGACGGACGATCCTGGTTGGGATCATGTACATATTGTTTTTGTTTTGTGTCAATCACTTTACATAGTAAAGGAAGAAGAATCATTCTTCAAAGAACTTATTATCAATAGCTTCGGGTGTTTAATGCTCTTCAACTTTTTAAACATTTTTTCGAGCGTCCCTGGTGAGTCGTTTGTAGACGAAACATGCGTCTGGCGTTCAAAATGTTAATCCTGGTATATATGATGAGTTTATTATTATGGATACTTGTTCACTCCATGACGATAGTTTGTGGACAGAGAGCACATTTTTGAATTTAAAAATCTACAAGGTGCTGATAACGCGGTAGAAAACAACATTAAAAATTAAAAAAAAAAAACAGTTTATCATGTTTCAGCAGTTGTAAATATTCCAGATAATAGGTGTTGAGTTTATTCGATTTCTTTGGAATGGTTCTTACACCATTTCACAGATTTATTTTGTTGGAACTGTTCAAAAACCATCTGTCCAAGAAAATTTCAAGACATTAGCAGCATCAGGTCGCATATCAAATTGTAACGTGTATTGTCTTTAAATCTCTTCCTCTGCAATAGTACTTACACCATTTCACAAATGTAGGTGGTTGGAACTGTGCAAGGACCATCTGTCCAAGAATAATTGAAGCCTATAACTGGATCAACTCGCATAGCTACACAATTTTCGTTTCCCCCTCTGTTGTTTGGTTGGGTAGGTCCCCAGTTAAAGTATGTTGCCTGCTTGCCGTTGGCTACCCAGTGAAATGTCCCTTCAGTTACAAGGTCATTTAATCCTATGTACATTCCAATGGAATCTGATAAAATAAACAAAATGGTTTTGAATCACTAACCAACCTCATATTGCTGCTCAAATAAAAAACTTGCAAATTCTATTCATCAAATACTCCTTTTCAAAATTGTATTGTTAAGTAATTTTTTGTATTTTTCTATGACTTCCTACTATTTGAATAAGTGAGCGTGAAAGAATTTACCTCATGATGTCCTTGTCTGTTTTGTAAGTCATTGTTTTTGTATGAGCGTTTTAATATTTCTCATTCGTAATTTGTCTTCAGTTTGACTTAATAATTTCTGTTTTGAATAAAATATGAGATGTAGAGAAAACGATTTTATCAAAAAACACGTATAACACCCATTTTTAATGGCTTCACTGCAGTTTGAAAATCGCAGTTGACTTATTGTCTTGTACGGTGATTCATAGAACAACTTCATTACATCTAGGTTATAAAATTGGGCTTAATCTAACAAACAAATGCAAACAATGAAGTTGTCAACAAATTTAAACCTTTGCAAAAGTAAATGCTTAAATGTTTAAAACAAAGACTCAGTCAATAATTCCTAAGTATGACCAGGATCCTCAATGATAAGGGAGTAAGCAAAAACCATGTTCTTAATCCTACAAAATGCAGAAAAACTCCTATGTATACGAAGATTAAATATTCAAATACTGTACAAGCATAAAAACCATAACCAAACAAAACTATAGTCATTATGACAGCCAACCTTTTTAGTACCTTAAACAAAAATATTTGTTTTCAGGTTAAGGTAGATAGAGGAGAAAAGTTGTGCTTCACATTTATGTATAATCTAAAGTCTACTCATTCTTACTTATTTTGATCATTAAATCTGTAAGAAACTGTTGTGTTTTCGCATCATCAACGGTAGCTAATGATGCCGATCTTCCATATTGACGTCCAATCACTTCACATAGTTTCTGAGAAAAGATATAAAAATATAACTCTAAAATTACAAAACAAATATTTATTGATCATGTTGATATTATACGATTAATTTGAATGACACAAATGAACATAATATTTTCTGTTATATCCCTCCCTCGAAAAACCGCATATACGTTTAACCATGCTTACACGTTTGAAATAAACGGCAATTCCTACATTACCAAGTGCTTTGGTATAACCATGATAAAACATGTTAAATTGTTAAGATGTATTTCCCGCTTCTTATGTTATGTAATTGTGTTATTCTAAGGTTGCAATCCATTAAGCTTATTATTTATGAATTCAAAATTATTAATTTCATATACAAGTTCATGTGATGTCTAATGTGAGTTAGCAGAAGTTTGCCGATTTTCAAATCTCATAATCTATTAAGAAAATGAAAATCAAGGTTAAAAAAAAAACAAAAAAACAAAACAAAACCTGAGGGATCCACATGAACAGAAGCGAGACTGGATGTGTTTAAAGGGTTAGCGACTACTGCTATGCATACATCATCCGTCATTGGAACCCACACTCTTTCAAAATCGAGAATAGGACACACTCAATACAGAGTGCAATACAAAAAGAGTTATTCTATATCAAAATCAAACAATCGAAATCATAATTTGAAGACAAATTTATAAAGAAATATTTTCGGAACCTTCACTCTTCTTTTTTCATTTCAACTCACCAGTGAATCGGCAAATGTCTCGTTGTCACGGCTTAGAAAGAAACATTTGTCTTCATAATGACTCCAATTATTTGGACATGCGCAAAATACTGAAACAAAAATAATTTTGCATTTGCAAGTATCCTTTCATACAAAATATGAATGTTGAAAAGTGTCTTATTTTATATAAACAAATGATATAAAAAGAGATATCACAATCAAGGAAGTCAATCAAAATCAAATGTCAAAGAAGAATAATATAAATTACATTTTTAATGATACAATTTATTTCGACACTCGGTTTATTTGCATCACGAAGAAACACCGTTTCATAGAGATTCCATTATTTGATAATCAGAGTAATGGGGTTCTTTGTCTCAATAAACCGTCACATCCATAACTGCACGTGCTTTCTATGACAAAGTTACTTAATAACAATAATATGAATATTTAAAAAAAAAAATAGGAAAATCTTGATTTCACTCGTAATCTCATGTGTTGACTTTTACTTTGTAATAACGTCGACCGTGTGCACTTACATATGAAGCGTTTAATTACAAATCTGCTTCGGTCAATGCTTTTACACATTAGACAAAAATTGATATATGATAGATTTTGTTTCAAATATTTATAAAAAATAAACTCATCAAAGATACGAGGCTTATAACGGTGTACGCCAGATGCACGTACAATATGGGAAAAGTTGTATGAATTATATTTCGCTATAAGAAGTCGGTTTGGTTCAATTTTGTCAAAATAAGCTAAAAACCATTTCGTTTGTATCAGGTTATATGACTGTCGACAGTCTTTGGGGGTCATCTCAATGGATAATTTGATGACATCTGGTCTCTACGCTCGAAATGCTGCTATACATTAACGAGTGTATGCATTGTTAAATATTTCTTTTGCACTTTCTGTAATTTGGAGACAGGTTTTACTATGATCTAAATCAAATATAATAATTTGTAATTGGGTAAAATTGGTGTGCATGAATTTGACAGCTACCATAAATCTAACCTTAAACCTTACCCTAACCCTAATGCCCCTTCAGTGAAATTACATAAATAAGCATTTAATTATGAATTACAGATTTAATCTTGAAGAATCAGTACATTAATGATAATTAAAAAGTGACTTACCAACCGTGGCCACAAATGCCAGAACACAAAGTTTCATCCAAACAGAAGACATTTTGATATATGAAGCAGCAGTTTTAAGATAGCATGTTGCATTTCTGAAGGCGATATTTATATTCGTAAATTATCTCTATTTCGATAAGTTCGTGATGTCAAAGAAACTGCAGACAGATTGGAATGTAGGTGTAAAATTCGGACCAGAAACAAACTCAAGGTCTTCTTAAATATTGATTAATGTAGAACTGTTGTAAGACTGGTATCTATAAAGACCATTTTAATAAAAAGTTCAAATTTTAGGACAAGATTATTTGGAATATAATTTGGAACATTTATCAGGATAAGGATACAAGCCAAAGTTCGAGAATTCATATGTGAATATTTGGAATATAAATAAGAATATTTATCCGTACACGAGGCATGTGAGGAGAAATATTAGAATGTAAATCGGAACATCTATTTTGAGCACTTCTAATGAATCTTCTGTAGACGAAACGCGCGTCTTGCGTACAAATTTATAAGCCTGATATTATTTGACACCTATGTATGTGCGCACGATACACATTTCCAGAATAATCATTAACAGGTGCGCAATGAAGGCAAAGCTTTAAAAGGAAAATATGTTGATCGTTTCGGAGTTGAACACGGGGTTCAATATGATATTTGGTAAGATAACTTGTGTCAGTGGGATTTGCCTCTCATACTAGAAATCTATCCGATAAAACTTTAACATACCATATGAAGATAGGTTTTATAATATGTTTTTAAAAACTAAAAAGAAAAAATGGTGTCACCGAACTTGTTTTCCTGCTGCAAGTATAAAAGAAAAATTTCATTAACATTTCTTTATAAAAATTTTCCTGTAAGAGTTATCTTAACTTATATGGCTAGGTAGAAAATTGAATCGATCAAAACAATTAGTATTTGTACAAACAGTCTAAATAATACAATAAATCACTTATCTTTCCTAAAAAAAACAGTCTTACACATAAATATGCATTCTGTCTAAAACAATTGGCAGATTGAAGCAAAGAACTAGCCAATTTTGTACTGCTATTTTTCAATTAAAGATTCCAATATTTAGTGAATCAACCTAATATCTTACTTTCACAACGTAGGACGGTAGTAAATGCTTATCCTTCCAGAACACATATGTGTAACTCCGGTTTTTTGTAGGGTTCTTACATGTATTGCTTTATCTTCAGTTATCTTTGTAGTGTTTTGTAGGCTGTTGCTTATCTTCTCGTCGTTTTTCCTTTTTGTTTTGAAATCCTATTTGTTTTGTTGAGTTAGCCTTCCTTGGTCTCTTACACATACCGTTCACGATTATTTAATATGTATGACATTTAGAAAGAACTACAACAGGATGAATGTGCATGAAATCCTGTTGAATACTTGTATTCAGCGTCATTATTGCTGTTATCAATAATATCAGTTGCTGCAAGGTTTACAACGATGACCTTAGGATTGACAAATTACGTTAATTAGGATGGCGCCATTTGCTGACTTCCATTCTGTATTTAACTACTTATATACAGAAAATTTTGTGTATTTGTATCTTAATAGCACTTGATTTTTCAGGCTCCTTGAACCTTTTTTTCATTGCGTTAGAAAAAACAATTGTGGTTCAAAAACAAATTCAACAACTAAATTTGTTAACGTTTTTTCATATTTATTGATTTCGATTTTCCCATTGTGAACTTTGACCTTTAATCAAATCAAAATTACATTTCAGCGGAATTTAAATATGAGTTATACAGCTGATACGACATTCCAGGGTTTTGTTTATTTTTCACCGGTGATGCCAATGGCATCACAAATAAACTTAGCAATGTCTTTGTACTTTCCATGAGTAACATGAAGCTGATTCAAACACTGTTTACCTTCCGAGGAACCTGTGTTTACCCTAAGTGTTGTGTTAGGTTAAGTGGTGATTGTTGTTCCTTTTGTTTTATACATGTATATAACTTGTTGCTATATTTTGTTTCAGAGCGTCTGTGTTGTTTTGATCAATCCTTGTCAGTGCTTTCTGTTGACAAAACTGTTCGTTTCATAATTTTCTCGAACAGTTTATCGGAAAGTATCAAGACCTTATAGATAGATATTCATTGTCTCCTTCACAAAATAAAATAAGATGGTCTTTGGATTGTAGGTGTTGAAAATGTGCATCTTTTTATGTACTTTACATTTTCCCTTTATTTTCATTTTTGTGCTATTATGTTCCTTTTGGTCCTTTTTTGACCGTCGAGCTATCGGGTTTTTAGCTTTTGACATTCCCGGTGCAGGTGTGTCCTGAGGTGCGATTCGCACCCATGGGGCTTCTACAGTGTTGTTTTAATTTTGTATACACTTGTATTAATATTTTACTTAATTCGTACGGGCACATACAGAATGTGTCGGGGTTAAACTTGTTTGAAGGCGTCAACCTTACCCCTAACCTAGAACAGTGGTGTAACAGTACAACTGAAGAACAAACTATAAAAATCATAACTCATCAGATCGATAAAAAGTAGAAACACATGTAACAAAAGCACAGACCGGACGTAGCAGGTTATTTATTTATCCCTAACAACAAAGTATAGATCTGAGAGTACTCACAGTTACTGACAGCTTGTTCAAAGCCAATAACAACTTATAAAAAATGCATGCATCTAAGACTGAAATATCAATCAGTACACATCCAACATCCAGTGAATTTAGTGTAAAGATGTCATAAATTAAATAGTCAGAGAAAAACATGACATTGTGCAATGCCAAGATACAGGTACTGACAGATTGTAGAGCCATGAATGTGTATATGTATATAAAAATAATATTAAGATTGATTTTGATTTACTGATAACAAAATCAATATTAATACCAATAACAAAAATTTCAAAGATCTAAGTATATTATTGAATTGGTGACCTTTCAGAATAAGTTTATTTAAAGAATCGATAAGTTTACCCAGATCGTATATAAATTTCCGGGCCCGGAACACAACATTTCAGTAAAAATTAGGATGTGCAATCCCGTTTGAAATAAGTTTTCTACAGGTACAACCAAACTTCCAAACCAAATCTTTGTATCTATGGAAGAATTAAGTAAAGGTTTTCAGTAATTTGTGGTAAGGAAATCCCTGACTTAATAATTTACCAGTAATACATAGATTATGTTCATTGAAATTTAAAACGTCACAACAGACACGGCA